CCCCAAAACCCCAAAACCCCAAAACCCCATATAGCTAACATAGAATAAATTGGGTATTTTTAGAGTGGTTAATTATTAAATAAAATACAATGGATAATCTTGGTAATCTTTTCATTAAAGAATTCACTCCAAGAAGCAGATCTCATCTCTCAGATAGGACTCTGCTTATGAATCAGAATCTTCATCAAGAACAAACAATCCTAGAAAAAAGTAAGGATTAATGTCAATTAAGACTTATCAGTAATGCGAAGGGATCCTATGGATATTAAATTCAAGAAAGACGAAATTCGATACAAGAAGCTGAAGATAGCAGCTACCAGACAAATTTCATAGCTCAACTAAAACCTCCAAAAAATTCTCAGACCAATTTCTCTAAAGCAGCATATTAAGATAAGTCCTAAGATTTTCTGTGAAATTATACTTGCACCTCAACAAGTATACTACTTTCAACTTGTCTGCAACAAATAAAATCCTCCTCTAAAATTATATATTAAGAAAATGACAAAAGACACTAATTTGCTAATATACTTTTCAAAGAATAATTTATATCCTGACTATGAAAATAATGACTTCAAATATGATGAACTAGAAAATGAAGATAATATTAATTGCTCACCAAGGTCTTAGTAGATGATGAAAATAACTTTAAATGATGAAAGAATTGGCCAATATTTACAAGACTGTTTTTACCTAGCAATTGTGAGTAACTCCTAAGCTAAGATATAACTGGCTTACAGCTTTTCAACCTAGTAGCTACGAGCACCTCATTAATAAGCAAATATTCTCACTATAAATACAAATAACCTAACAAATATCACCACTACTAATTCCAAGCCATAGTCCACAGAAAATGATATATTTAGATCCACTATGCCGAACATTATGGACGGTTATAAAACCCACAGAATCATCCCAAAACATAAAAAGGGTTATTTAGAAATGAAAAAATCAGTAAATGAAATGATCAGTGACTACTAGGTCTATAAAGTCTTTCAGGACTAATTGAGTAAGCCTCATCGTTCTTTAACTTCAATTTAGATAAAGCATCTTAGGAAAGACTTTAGAGATGCAGTTGAAATAGTCCTTTTAGATAATCATTAAGGGGAAGTGCCACAGAGGAATGTTTAAGAGCCCAAACTCCATTTAATGATTTTCTTAGAACCCTCTAGAATTCATAAGTCACTACAGATGAACGTCCATAAACCTAATATGAAAAATTTAAATAAAGAAGAGTAATCATGAATAAAGAGGTCAATGAGGAAGAAGAAAGGAAAAGAAAATTATTTTTGCTTCACAAACGTTAAATTCTAAACTCATATGTAACAAATATTAAGTTAAAAATTTAAATAGAGATCTTAAAAAATTGAAGAAGCCAAAGTAAAGCGAGATAAGAAATAGTCTGCATTATTTTTTGCTGCAGTACTTATCTAAAGAAGGTTATTTAAGAATCTTAAAATCAAGTACGAAAACAAGTATATAGATGTGGTCAAATTCTAAAAAGCAGTAAAGTGCGCACTTTATATATAAAGAGCTTTTAGAAAAAACAAAAATAAGAATCATTTAATGCATAGAAAGTATCACTACATTAGAAAGTAATTCAATCATTCCATTTATTAAGTAAATATAGTGGTCTAAAACTAATAGGATAAATCAGTTATCCAGCCAAGTCTTATAAAGCAAAATCTAGAATTTTAGAATTTCTATAGGGTGTTAAGCTGTTGGATATAAAAATTTCAATTTTTAAAAAATTTTACCACAAAATTGAATCAATTCAGGAGAGATTTAGGAATCATATCAAAATTATGGATATTAGAAGGAAAATTCTAAAGGATCTTTGGAATCAAGAATTACAATAAATGATATTTGCCCTTGTACAAAGGTCTAAACCGAAAAAGAATTAAGCTTTACTTGAAAAACTTCAGACCTTAGATAGTAATATAAGAGAAAACATCCTTAACAAGTACTTTACTAAATGTTACATTTAGTACAATGCAGCATTTTTCAAATGGCATGAGATGTCAGTGTAGCATTCAAAAGATAATAAGCATGTTAAATTCTTATAAATACTGTAGCATATGACAGATTAAGAGAATGGTATGATTGATACAAATCTGGAGTAGGAAGCGTTAAATGAATTTAACGAGATGTTTTCGAATAACACACCTACTAAAGAAAATGGATTTTCGAGTTAAGAAACACTCAGAAAACAGGTGAGTAAATTTTCTGGTAAATAAAAGATAGATAATTTGGACATTATTGATTTTAAAATGCACACCTTTATACCAGAGGACAGTGGCTCTAAGTCCTCAAAGCGAAGTCAGGAATTTAGGCAAAATAATGGTGCTATGATTACTGAGGTTGATTTTGATAAGCTTTAAGAGAACATATTATTACAAAAGTAGATAAAGGGAAACAATTCAAACAAGAGCACAGCTAAAAAATTGTAGAAGAAATCATCTTAATCAGTAGTTGAGTTAAAAGGTGTTGAGACAAAACAAACTCAGTAGTAATATATCCATAATTAGATTCAGAAGCTTCATGGTAATAACACTAACAATAACGATAATTAACTTAAGCTTTACGAGGATTAATTAAAGGATTTGACTAAAGCACCATAACTGATATATTTACCTTCAAAAATCCTTATGCAAAGAATGATTTTAAGAGCTTGCTTCATCAAGAGTTCAATGACTCTGAAGTTTGGCTATAAACCAAAAATAAGGCATGATGATTTTGATGATTGAGAGACTTTAAAAAAATAATACAAATTTTTAAGTATATTTTGACAATTATAATATGATCCTTAATTTAATTAAAATTATTTCAGACGGGGTTTTGGGGTTTTGGGGAGATCGGAAGAGCACACGTC